TCTTTGGAGTTCTTCCTCATTATCAGATATCCAGATTTTCTAACCCAATGTCAAATCGTTCTTAAAAAATAGCTCCCATTTGAAAACACAACTATTTGCTATTAGAAGCTCCCAACGAAGGCTCGGTAATAACACTGGAGCATAAATATGAGGGACTGAGGATTAGGTCAAGCATAGAGGATCCACATGCAGGCTCTGAAACATGCTGCTTCAAAGCAAGCTATGAAAAAAGCGATGAAAGCATTCTCCTCTGTTTTCGCGCTCTGGGTGCATAGGACTAAGACAAGGAACAGCCAATATGAAAGTTCAAATCTCCTAAGATTCGACATCGACATTTCTACAAAGAGAGCAGAGATCAGACAGTGTGCCACATAAGAGCTTATCGTAAAGAATACTATGGTTGGGAGGACGATACACAACACGGACCTTAGAAAGAAACCCAAGAAGTAAAAACAAAGAGCGTCTCTAGCAATACAAGAAAAATCAAATTTAATAACTTGAGAATCAATGTGCTTTTGTAAAAGATCACGGAGATCGATGATCATGGAGATGTTTCTTCGATGCAAGCTTCAAAGTGCGCAGGAGGCCCGATTTTTGACCCCTGGTTGTCTGAAAAGACATAGTTACTTTCACCACTAGGCTTTGTCCGGTTCAACTCTTTTCCCCACAGCAGCAATTGTTTACCATTTCCAGACTCAACAGGGATCATAGAACGACAAATAAAATTTTTGAAAACAGCATAGTGCACGACCAGCGACTGGGGTGGTCACTGGATTAAGGACTATGCTGACAACTCTAGTGCGATAGGACACTGCTGTTGTGGTGGTAGCGGGTGAACTGTGGTGGTGGCGGCTGAGGCTGATGGCTGCTCGATGGAAGAGTCCGGAGGATGCTTGACGGACGAGTCTTCTGAAGCTACTTCCCGCAGTGGGTGATGCCTCAGGCGGGTAGCCTCCCACCCGCGAGTAGTTCAGCATGACCACCGCGCTCGAGGTAGGGCCTGCCTCCGAATGGTGCCTCTCTCTTGGCCTCCCTATTCCACAATAGTCTCTACGTGCCTTAGCGTTCCTCAGAGTTTGAAGGAAGAATTTACGAGACGAAAACACACACCTAATAACTTTTACCAGCTTCACGTTTATCTATCCTGTAAATCTCAGTGGAGCGCCCTTCAACATCCGAAATATCAAATAAATATTGCTTACCGCTTGTTCTGTAGATTTCTGCCGAATTGATGAAGGCTGGCCCGCTTCAGCTTCCGGAACACCAAAAATAGCGACGGAACGTGACCTCTCATCTTATTCAATAGCAGCATCTCTTCAGGCTCCTTGTCCTCAAGAATACTCAGCAGCTCCAAAAAGTGCACTCCTTCGACAGGGAGTTGGAGATATGGGCCAAAAAAATTCGACATAAGGCTTTCGTTTTTTAGGATTGGCAGGGGTCACAGTACACATGGTGGAACAGATCCATCAGTTACCGTCTGGACAGCACGCCAACGCAATGCCGTACGGTTTTTCGACTTTTAGGCTTTAACGAAGGCGAAGTTGCTAAAGCGTTGGCCCTATAAAGATTATTCTCAGATAGAATGAAGCAAGCATATATACTGGTCAAAAGACATACCAAGGTTGAGATAAAGTCGATCGTGGTATATTCTGCAAGACGTACCAGCCGACTACTTCCGGCTTACAAGAGAGGTCATGCTTTGCGGCAGCAGGTCGTCACAAGAGACAGATCATCCACTTTTTGCGTCGTTGTCTAGCGCCCATATTGTGCCGAGCTTCACAAAACAAATGACTACACGAGGGCCGCAGAATTCCGATGGACTCACGGCATGTACGATCAATCGAGCAACAACTACTTAAGATAGCAATCGTGATCGGAGCGTAATCAATTGTATTCATGTTTAGACAAGTGTGTTGTTAAGAAGAACTGTTGTGAATGAATAGTGCCAGAGCGCCCTTGAACGAGATTAGTAATTGAGTCGAAAAACCATCGTAGTTTGATTCGAAGTAAGGCAAAGGCTAAGCCGCAGGGCAAGTTAGATGGATTGGTAGATCAAAGGTGTGGAATACAAGTAGTATCTACCGATTGTCATAGCAATCAGGAGAACCATACTTCGGTTAGGGCGGACTACCTATTCAACTCTCGAGTCGCTGTTTTAGGCAACCTACTAATCATGAAGAAGCGCTATCATTGTTAGCACTCGGTCCTAGCTTTGCATCAGGCCAATCAATTTTCCCTCGGGTTGCTCGTAGGATCGTGGGCAGTCTACTGACTGTCGAGACTACCTCAGATGTAGAGCGAACACCATTATGCGGTAAGCGGGCGCTGGAGATTAAGCGGACAGAGTTCTTCTTGCCCTTTCTTTTCCTTGCCCATTTTATTTACAAGCCTCAAGAACTACATGCTGTCGTGGATAACAAATTCCGTCTTCTAGCTCTTTAGGCAACATTACCCTTCATGACATCTGTCTTGCAGAGTGGTGCGGCAGTTCGTTGACGAATATTCTGGCTTCAACGTGACATCTTCACAGAGGCAAGGCTTCAAAGAATTATGGAATCGAACAAAAGACGGGGAGACGCTCTTGTTACTAGTGACAGAGCATGGGAACTCGTGGTTATCCTACAAGTGCTCGATTATGCTATGACACTTTTACATCTACAGGACACAATTCTATATTGAAAAAAGAGTATGCTAAACAGTGCAAAAAACCGAACAAGGTCTGATGTTGCGTGGTGAAGGTCGCTGATCTGCAGATCTCCCGCGATCAATCGCCTAAAGATTGAGCTGCCGCTGTGTCCTGTTTTATATACCCTTATCAAAGCCCATAGGCTTATCGCTGCGGAGCTGAGCTCTAGTGACCCAACAGTATTGAAGGCCAGACCCATTAACAGCTGTGTAGGGGGTCCCGCCGATAAAATTTCATGGTTCCTCGATCTTATGGTACGACAAGTCCTTCAGTACATACCTGTCCACCTGATGATTCAAATATGCTCCTCGAGAAACTGTCAAACGTAGACCTTCAAGGGAAAGTTGTGATCAAAACATTCGATGTCACGTCTTTGTACACGCATGTGTTGATGAAGCTGCTTTGGAAGCAATATTCGATTTGTTGCTTCCTCAATTTGTACGGTTTCTCTGTCACTAATACATAATAACCGTTCTTAGATGGTTTTTTGACTTTCAGGCTCTGACAAAGGCGAACTTGCCGAAACGTTAGCCCCATAAAGTTTGAAATTTCAAAAGGACTGAAACAAGCATACACTCTAACTCGTATTTTGTTAATTCAAGTTGTCCATGTTTGAACAACGAAGATGTTGTCTGAAGAGCATAATCCTTCCTCGGTGACTAATTGGTAAGTGTTTGCACCAGTTCTCGAATGAAGCGTTGTTTCAAGGTAGATTGGATTCTGCACAGACTGCTCAGGCGCCCGACATAGGCCCACGGCAGCCTAGACCTGATCAGAAGGTCTTTAGCCGGAGGGTATAGAACCATCAGAGTCATGTTAGTAGCAGAAGATGCCGTCACCTTAGCCACATTTCTATTCACGCTACTGCTCTCCCAGCCCCATTGCTCCTGCCAGACCTTTGTTTACGATTTGGTTGGATGGATCCTTTACGCCCTTCTGAGAGTCGCAAAGGCCGAAGAAGCTGGACCAGGAGACATGCGGCTAGTAGGAACTGGAATAAATGTCGCTATGGCTGAAACAGAAGCTAGTACCACCCTTGTCGGTCGAGCCAGTCTAGTTCTTCAGAGAGCAGAGAAAGTGCATCCTGTTGTAGGCTGCTTCTTAAAGAATTGTCTCCAGCATTCGCCGTTTCAACGGACACCCTAACGACCGACAGTGTTGCTGGCCACGTGTTGACAACGCAGGGCAGATTGCGGTCAATCAGCACTGATCGGTGTCCAGTGTTGTCAACGCGTAACCAGCAACGCTGTCGGTCGGTCGGGCGTGGGCTGAAACAACACACGTTGTTGAAGTCTGAAAGCGCCCTATGGGCTGCGCTAGGGTGGCCAACTTTGCCATTGAAGATCATGCGCTCCAACGGCAAGGTTGGCTGCGAGGGGCCGCGCTAAACGACAAACGTGCGTGCAATAGCATCATGGCCTACGGACTACTTGAACTCGGTTCCTTTAAATTTGCCGGATGCGTCATTTTTCTGCCCTCGTCTGGCGCACACCCGTTTGATGTGGTCTTTGCGTGTTGTGCTCGCCTGTCCAATGGGGCCCCCACCACCACCGCCGTAGGCTTCACCCGGGATGTTTTTTCTCTGAGCTCTAGCCTCTTGCCGTCAGAGATGCAGAGAAAGTTCAAGTAGTCACGTAACCATAGCATCATCTAGCGGGATCCACGCAGTAGTGCCGCACCATATATTTCTCAAATCCTTGATCCCTTTTTTCCTTTGCTTTCCTTCAAATATAGTTGGTTCCACCGCGAAAATCTCAGTCAATTAGTTCTGGGAATTGGTTTGAACATAAATACCCTTTGATGTGAAACTTTCAGGGTAAAATGCTGGTGTTATTCGAAACAGCGGCAGGCTATGCNGCAGTAGTGCCGCACCATATATTTCTCAAATCCTTGATCCCTTTTTTCCTTTGCTTTCCTTCAAATATAGTTGGTTCCACCGCGGAAATCTCAGTCAATTAGTTCTGGGAATTGGTTTGAACATAAATACCCTTTGATGTGAAACTTTCAGGGTAAAATGCTGGTGTTATTCGAAACCGCGGCGGGTTATGCCATGTTTAAACTGTTAAGCGACAAGAAATTGAAAAATGTTGATAATATATACGAAGAATTTAGCACGGCAGAAAAAGCCCAAGAAAGGTAGGGAATTATTTCATGTCTATTGAATGGTATACATATCTTACCTAATTTTTTAGTTTGCAATTGGTGGCATTTAAAAAGTTCAAAAGCACAACGGAAGCCGTTGAAAGTGCGTGTGCAATACATGAAGGAAAAATCAACAAAACTTTGAAGAAATTGCTAAAAGGAAAAGTTACTGAAAATGAACAACTTGCTGTGGGCGACGCCAAGTTGGGAAACTTGATCAAGGTCTGCAGGTTTTGTTCTTACTGCATTTTTAAATGTTTTTTTTATTTCACCTTCCCGAACAGCAGCCGAAGCAAGCGTTTTCTTCATTGAAAATAACACCCTTAAATGTCCTCGCTCATTACTTGTTTGTTGTTTTTATTTTTTGTTCCATTTGACGCACGCACCTGACATCCTACTGCTGTTACCTGCGTTTTGATTATTTGTATTAATGAGAATCTTACGGTAGAGCAGGTAAATGAGATTGTAAAAGAGGAGAGCAATATTTCCAAGTGGAAATGGTGGGAATTTTAAGTGCCTTGAACATTTGGATAATAGGCTGCAGAACTGTGGAAATCCATAAGTGGATTAAAAATTTACGATTTTTTCATAGGAAACTAGTGGCTAAGCAATCAATCTAAAGTTGTTGAGGGTAGCTCGAAAATTGCGAAGTGACTACAACATTTCTTGTTTGCCATTCGCAGATTTGCGGATCGTGACTGAATAGAATTCCTTTCTTAACTGGCTGATCCTAGTCTATCGAGAAGAACTTCTCTTTAACTTCGTCAGAAATTTGGAAAGGATACGGAACTCTCAATGTTTTCTTCAATCGGGGGGCATTTTCTGCTCCAGTTTGGTTGTTTTGATTTTTTTGCGAAGACACTCCTTACAATTTAAGAGGTCAAGGTTTCCCTCAAAATGTGTTTGAGCACAGTGATTCGATTGCCGATTGGAAAAACATGATTTTATGTTGGCATTGTTTATCTGGATGTTGATGATTCACAATTCAGGAGAAACTAGATGTTCCATGTGTACATACTCCTGCAGTAGCCGAACTTATGCGTAGTATTCGTGCGAATATCGAGTCATTACTAGATGAACACAAGACAGAGTTAAACGCTATGAATTTGGCCGTAGCTCATTCTCTTGGAAGGTACAAAGTGAAATTCAATCCTGAGAAAATAGACACGATGATTGTGCAGGTAAAGTTCTTAGTTCTCAGAGTCATTCTTCAGAAGCTATCGTTTTTTCCCCAGGCAGTGTCTCTTTTGGACGACTTGGACAAGGAGTTGAATAATTATGTAATGCGATGCCGAGAGTGGTATGGATGGCATTTTCCTGAATTAGGGAAGATAATTCAAGATCACCAGGCTTTTGCTAAGGTGAGCTATTCTCTAATTTCTATCTCTTTCTGATGCACATGAGAAAAATGCTTTTTTTTTTCTTCTATCTATCTTGTTCAGGTGATTAAAGCCATTGGTATGCGGCAAAATGCAATAAATGTGGATCTTTCTGCTGTTCTACCTGAGGAATTAGAAGAGAAGGTTAAAGAGGAAGCCGAAATATCGATGGGCACCGATATATCTGAACTGGATCTCATCCATATCAGTGGCTTGTGTGACCAAATTATCGAACTTTCTCAGTACAGGTGAGGTGGCAGGTCTATTTGCTCGCTGTTCCAGGTCCATGTTTAGCGAAACACTATTTTCAGAGCTCAACTTTTTGACTATCTTAAAAATCGGATGACTGCATTGGCACCGAACCTAACCTGCCTTCTGGGTGAACTTGTAGGAGCGCGGCTCATCTCCCACGCTGGATCTCTTGTTTCATTAGCCAAAGCACCCGCATCTACAGTTCAAATTCTTGGAGCTGAAAAGGTGAGCTAATTTCTTCTGAAGCATGCTATGTTTTCTTGCGTTCATGGAGGTCAATGGAAAAATTCAGGCTCTGTTTCGTGCTCTCAAAACTAAGAAAGATACTCCTAAGTATGGTCTAATATATCATGCTCAATTGATCACCCAAGCTCCTGCGAAGTTGAAGGGAAAGGTAATTTATTGATAGATTTTCCTCGATTTCCTTAGTCTTTGAAAGAAGCAAGCGTATCACGGTTTCTTTTGTTGTTATCATCCTTCTCTTACTCTATTTTCGTAGTTCGAGCATTGCATCCGTCTTTCTCTAGATGGCTCGCAAATTAGCCGCAAAATGTGCTCTTGCAACCCGTATCGATGCCTTGGCAGATGAGTCAAAGGGAGCAGNAAACTTCAGGCTCTGTTCCGTGCTTTGAAAACTAAGAAAGATACTCCTAAGTATGGCCTGATATATCACGCTCAATTGATCACCCAAGCTCCTGCGAAGTTGAAGGGAAAGGTAATTTACTGATTGATTTACCTCGATTTCTTCAGTGCTTGATGGAAGTGTGTTTGCGTAACACGGTTTCTCTAGTTGTTATCATCCTTCTCTTACTCTATTTTCGTATTTCGAGCACTATCTTTCTCTAGATGGCTCGCAAATTAGCCGCGAAATGTGCTCTTGCAACCCGTATCGATGCCTTGGCAGATGAGTCAAAGGGAGCAGAGATAGGCATGGAATGCAGAGCTGGGTTGGAAGCTGTGCTTCGTGGGGAACAAGAACGTGGGCCGAAAAGAATAAGTGGCGGTTCTCACAAACACGAAAAGTATCACTTCAAAAGGTAGCAGAAGTCTTGCCTTACCAGCACAAAAACATTTCAACACAAAAAGTTTTTAAGCGAGACATATGAGTACGACGCTACCAACGATGTTCCAAAGAAACCCGTTAAACGGCGGTTTGAGGACGAGGAGGAGGAGCCGTCATCGAAAAAGATTAAGGTGATTAGGGTTTCTTTCACCTTTATCCCATAGAGGGCATTAATTTCACTCTTGAGTATCTGCAGGTGGAAGAGGAAGGCGAAGAAGCTGTCGCGGTTCCGAAATCTGAAAAAAAGAAAAAGAAGAAGGATAAGAAGGTGAAAAAAGAAGCAGCAGAGGAGGAAGTAGAAGTAGAGGAGTAAGGTTGTTAGCTGTTAGTGCTGTATTTTATTTACTCATTATGTTGTTTTTATTGTTGTTGGATGCCGCCGTGTTGTGGTATTGATTAAGTTGTTTACCGTTGTTGTTGACCTATTGTTACATGAGTAATAGCAGATCGAAGTTCAAGTTGTTCTAAGCTATTTCACATTCGCATTGTAAATTTCAGGGTCTATCAAACAAAATTATTGCCAGATCTATAACTGTTTCAATCTTGCACATTCAAATGTTCCACGTGAAATCAGAGGTTTCCTCACCCTTCTACGTGAGCTTGAACACTCGATAGAAATTGATATTGCCACCTAAAAAAAGGAGAGTTTATAGGCTAGGGCTACGTAAATGTGAATGTTGGGTGATGCGGCATCTTCATTATGACGGCGAGCACAAGTTATTTCCATAAGGAGCGGAGCAACAACTATGGCGATCGGCTGAAGGGAGGGATTCCTGGATGAGAAGTAAGTTTTTACACCATTTGGACAGAAGTTACAATTACATCTTCAAAAGCTGATGTGGGAGTCTTATCCAAGGCAAACGGCTTCTCCAAGGACTTTCGGCTACCGCTTGTATTTCGACTAAAGTTGTTAGCTCTCCTCAGGCTTCCTTAGATTCTTCATTGTTTGTGTTCCAAAGTTGGGTCTTCCTTAATCTGAAATTATGTGCAAAGCGGGTATTCCTGCGCATATCGAAGTACGTAATCGTAATGGAAACGATAGAGGTAAAGCCGTCGCAGAGCTGGACAGACGCTTTACGGCCTTTAGAATCTTGAACACGCTTTTTGTATTGATCAGAATTAATTCTATATATAATTAATTTCCACCATGATTCATGCTCATTGAAGAAGCATCAAAAAGCATCATAAATGCATTATGTAGCCATTTGATATGGCAGAAAAATTCGTAATGAAGCACACAGATTATCAAATATACAGAGGGTTTCCCAAAATTATGGGCGCTAATTCGTAGCAATATTTTAAAAGCTTATCAGCTGAGAATGGCAATGAAATATACATGCACGATCGTTAACTCTGGTGCTGTAACATGCTACAGTATGTTTCAAAATATCCCCCATGAGCGCAGATAGAGGCCGAAAGTTCGCTCTCGAACTCCTCGCGATTTGGCCGCGGGTATCCTCCATTTTTCAAACGCGTTCTTCAGTCTTTCTGTATGAAACTCCAAAGTGTGACAGCAAGCCGTACAGGTCCTCTTATAATCAGGACCATATGGACGAGCCAAGTGAATTGAGCAGGATGGCAGGATGTATAGCAGAATAACCATTCCTCTTTGTTAATGGAGTGGGGCAGCTAGCGGATGAGCTTGGAGCTTGCATCTGTTGGCAGGAGTAACTTCCTGGTGCTACAAGCTGTTTCAAAAAGCGAAGTAGGATCAGTGCTTCACTGTGGCATGAGGACGCCCTTTGATTACAGATCTTCACCAATTTCACGCCGGTACCGACGAATTCACGAGCGTCTTAACCTTGCTAGTGACTCTCCCAAAAAAGCATCATTTCGCTGTTCTGTGTAACGTTATTTCATAGCCAAAACGCAATTGCTTTCTTTGCTGAGGAATGGATTTTTCGTCAAATTTTTTTAGTTAGAACGATGAAGTGTTGCGTGTCTCCACTCAATTGAGTTGGCAACTTTCTGCATTTTTTGGCCCTGCACTGCCTATTGAGAACAGAAGTAAAGCGGCATTTCTACATACGATAGAAACGGTAATGGAGCATCTGCTTGACAGTCCGCCCAAAGGACAAGACTAATAAGTCTTGCTCCCTTTGGTGGTCACCCAGAATCGCAGTCGACTTGCAATCGGACCATTTTAACAGTCCTTTATTTAAAACACTGCCCTTTCTACCTTTTCCTGCTCTGCCTTCGGTTGAATCTTCTTCTCTGTATCGTTCAATAATCTTCTGCATGGATGTTATAAGAGTCACAACAAATTTCATAACGCCCTTCCGCCTCTCGCATGCTAGTGATTGCGAGCGGCATTGAAGGAGCCTCCACCAACTGATAGATACTGGAAGTTTCCCTTTAGTAACCATGCATATAGCAAGAAAACCTACCTGTGCAACTAACTAGTAGCGAGTGAAGTGAATTTGCTTAATTACTTCTAACTTGTAAGTTTCTGAATCTCGGCGCCCATAATTTTGGTGCACCCTGTATGTAAGATATGATACGAAAACGGCTTTCATGCTTGGTGGGAGAAAGATCTTCTCCGAGAATGACGCTTGAATCTATTATTTTATCAGATCAAACGGATAGTTATGGTATTTGTATCTCCTGTGAATGTAGATTATTATATCGTAGAGTACTGTTGAGTAAGTCATCTTCCGGAAAAATCCCAGTATATCGACTGCTCCGATGAGTACTATTGAGCGTGTCATCATCCAAATCGACCGCGAGGAGTTTTGTCATCTGAAATATACTATTATAGAGTTTACAAATCAAAGAAAAGTTTGTTTTAGATCTATCGATACGCATGGCTTGAATAATTTACTACTTCTTAGCGGTAAAGGCATTGTTATAGGCAGGGACAGTTGAGCGGGGCGGCAGTGCCTACTCCTGCATCAGGAAGACCGCGACTCCGAAATCTGCCAATAAAGATTGCGTACCAAAGTATCAGAGACAATGGTACCACCGTTAGACTTAGGTTGAAAGGCCTTTTTACAAAATTATAACTGAAATTTCAAATGATAATCATAAAGTTAGGACCTCGTCAGATAGTTATGCGGAAACTTGCCTGGGGAGACGGGCGTTAGGAACGATTTTGGGTAATCGATTCGCCGCACGCGGCTGTCGCGGACNACTCATTCGCCGTTATTACAGCTCTAGCGTTCTTCATACAGCTCAATCGATATACGACCATTATTTTATACACAATTCTATTATTAGTACTTTTGTTTTTGTATTTCTTACCTACTGCTGCATCCTGCTACGTTCCTTCGCGCGCGACGCCCCTCTCACCGCGGCGCGACCATTTCGTTCCTGATGCACCACACCCACTTGCCTGTGTTCTTGGACACGCGATGGGGTTCATGAGGTTTTAACGACCCCGGCCAAGGAAGATAGTTTGAACTGAGCTCAGTACATTAGGTCGCTCATTGGCTGCTTTCACAGGCCGCCGGCCGGCGGGCGGACTATGTAAGCAGCCTATTACTTACTCTATCTAGCTGGTACTGTGCCCTGAAACCGTTTATTATACCCGTGGGTAAAACAATATATTTTTGCAATCCAATGGTCTGTTTGATAATCTCTTCTACATTCATGGACTTCTTTGAAGTGTAATATCATCAAAAGTTACACAGACCTGTTGTTTGCTGTAGTGCTCGATGTGTTCGGATGACTCTCGGTCTGCTCGGTCTGGTTGCGCATTCCATCCTTGGACAGTCTGATGCCTTAAAAAATCCCAGTGAGCAAAAATTGCAAGGGCTCCTTTATTATTGTACGGATTCCTTTACTCTCAATATAAGAGAACGGTCCGCTTTTTCAAGCTAGCACCAACTGGAGGGATTGACTGACTCTGAAAAAATGCATCGACGGATTGTGTAGATTTGGCTCATTATTAGTAGGTTTTGTTAAGTGCAAGAAAACACGGCTGAACGGTTAATTCCTCTCGAGCACCTACTCTGGAAGCTGTGCTGAATAAAGAGTGGGTTGCTACCACGCCACCTCGCACTTAGTCTATAAGACTTGATGACCGTCCCTTTCACTTTCACCCCAGGCCGATCATAGTTATTTAATCGTATCGGTGATGGTGTTTTGATATCGGGGCTAATTGAAAGAATGCGTCTACTCCTAATGTCAACACAGGAAATTTTCTAGTTTCAACCTGATGCTCACCGAATGCCGCGATTCTCCGGTACATTGCACAAATTCGTGGAGCAACAGCACAGGCTGATCGGAATGTTCTGGAACGTAGTCGAGATGCATTTGTCGCGAGCGAACTGAAATTGGAACTTAAGTCTGCATGTTACGCAGTTTGCAAACAGGAGCAGTCCCCTCTTTATACTAGCCTCAGTAAGGACATGTCACCTGATTCCCTATTGTGGCAGAATTGAATTGAATTGAAATTCAGTTTCATGCGAAGAAACATCTCTGCTATAACCACCTTACTACGGGAGGAAATTCAGAAACTCAAATTCAAGCCAAATTCAATTCAATTCAATTCTGCCACATTAGGGAATCAGGTGACATGTCCTTACTGAGGTCTCATCTGTTACCAACCTAGGCTTCCACTATGACAATAATCTTAGTTTCTCTGGTCACAACTATATGGCTATTTTTAAAAAGTAATCTACCCTTACATACCAAGTCTTCAAGGGTTTAGCGATCAATGATAAGGACGTCTTATTGAGAGTTTACAAAACTTTTATACGTCCCATAGCTGAATGCGGTACGTCTGTTTCCTGCCCATATAAGATAAAGGACATCCAGTGAATCAGTAAAATCCAAGATTATTCCACTCGAAAGCTGGGGGAGACGGGCGTTAGGAACGATTTTGGGTAATCGATTTGCCGCACGCG